AAGGAGAGGGCTGGTCCCTTTATGACGATCACCAAGAACACTTCCAGGCGCAAAATGCTCATTAGAGTGCTGCGTAAACACTATTTATGCCCCAAAAGTGTTCGTATTTGTCAAGCAGTCCAGGAACTGAATAAAGACTCAGGCTGTTTATTCTTAACTGCCCCCTTGGCTGCTGACAATAAATAAAGCAAATGAGAAGAAAATGGCAATACACTATTTTTTTCCTGCTCATCTTCAGTCCTCTGCGATTAAAGAGGACAAACTTAGACCAAAACCCTGTCAACAACTTTATGATTAATCTTACTTTTCAGTAACAACGTCTATACCCTTTGCTGGGTCTCCGGGATTGCTGAAGCTTGGAGGGGCTGTGGATACTGGGTAGAGCCTTCATTATCCTTTCTGAGCGGAGTCGCAGCCTAGGAATACGTTTTAAATTTGCATTGAGTCAGAGAGAAAGATGAAGGGGCTTTGAATGAAACCACTGTGTTTGCGGCAGGTGAGGTGGAGATTTAGAGGAACAAAGGCTGTTGTTATCTGTGCCTGCCATTGTACCAGAGTGTGGGATGCCTTTAAGGAGTCTTTTTTTTTTTTTTTTGGAGACAGGGTCTCGCTCTCTCACCCAGGCTGGAGTGCAGTGATGTGATCAAGGCTCACTGCCAGCCTTGACCCCAGGGCTCAATCAATCCTTCCACCTCAGCCTCCTGAGTAGCTGGGACTACAGGCGCTTGCCACCACACCCAGCTAATTTTCGTATATTTTGTAGAAGGGATTTTGTCATGTTGCCCAGGCTGATCTCCAACTCCTGGATTCAAGTGATCCACCCCCCTTGGCCTCCCAAGTGCCCCAAAGGGATTATAAACATGAGCCACCTCGCCTGGTCTAAGATGTCATCTTTAAAGAATATCACCGTTTTCAACAGAGATTATGGAGACCGGAAGGTATGCATATAAGGCAGGCTAAGTGGCTCTGAGAAGCAGCATGGGAAATATTGGAAACAGGCCAGAAAGTTTGCAGAGCTCTTGAGAGCAGGAGCCTAGTGCTCTCCAGGGGGCGTAAGCTTAATAGGGAAACCTTTAAATAACGCCTGGAAACCACCTCAAGGCCAATTTGCAAACGAGGTCTGAGGCCCGTGTCATAGGGCTTCAAAACGCACCACAAATGGGACTTCCCTGCCAGAAAAAAGCATTCCCTGAGCTCTCCCCTAGGGAATGAAGTCCCAGAAAGGCTTGGAGAGGAGAGAAGCCAGGCAGCGGGAGGGAGGAGGACTTTCCTGCAGGCCCGGTTCTGAAACTCTTGTCTCCTGCTGGCCAAGAGTCTACTCACGTGACCTCTTGTAAAGCGCCCTCGGAAACAGATCCTGGCTTCGTTTCCGCCCAGCCTCTTTTGCTTGTTAGTGTATGCAAATATGACTGTTAATGAAAGCAGGGTTTGTTTTCTGGACTCAAGAGCTGAACATTCAAGTGGGATCAAGAAGGGGACTTGGCTTTTTGTGCCTTCATCAACAGCAGGGCTCCTAGGGGGCCTGTAATTCAGAGCCGAATTTTACTGTCAAAATTTTAAGGAAGGGGAAATTAACTTGAGGAGCAGACAACTCCTGTTTCCCCAGCTGTTGACTCACTGACGGTGACTGTGTATGAACTGCCTTTCTGTGTTTACACACAGACGTATATGGCCTAAGAGGAACGCTTTGGGGGGGGGGGGGGCACTAAATAAATAATAAACCACTCTTTTGATGTCAGTCAAGTCTTAACAGCATTGAGAAATAATGATCAAATGCAAGCTAAAGCTTTATGTCTTTCAATGTCTACAAGACTATTTCAGTATTTAGGAAATATAATGAAAGACACTAAAAGGAGAGATCATCCACAGCCTCCCATCCTAGAGACAAAGCCCCTGGTCTGGAGATGACCTTCATGTTCGCAGCCTTACAATAGGTGGCTGTTCGGCCATGAACGGGGCAGGAGAGGGCTCCCCCTGCCCACCAGGAAACTCAGGCGACCATCAGGTGATGGTCAGGTGGTTAACTGTCTCTCTAAAGTAATAACTGGTCGCAGCCAGCACCAAGGAAAGGCAGTCTCCCAATAAAGACAAACACCCGAAACTGGCGAGCAGCAGCCTCCCGGTAAGATCTCAGGAGTTGGGCGAGTGGGCTCACGCATGTGCATGAAGAGGCAACATGGTGGAGTTTCAGCGGTACACCACCTCCTAGGGACGTCTGACTGGTAAGGGAAGAATGCCCCAGCTGAGCACACGTGTAACTCCGGTAAACACACTGCACATGCCGCCCCTCCCAGGCATTAGCAGACCACTGCGCACGGACAGCCCATCCCAAGGGAAGAATCAGGGGAGAAGAGATGTAAGCCCCTGGAAGAATGCCAAGGTGTAAACCCCCAGCTCAGAAGTCCAAGAGTGCACTGGATCTCTCGAGTCGCCGGCCTGGACCTCTTCCAAATGCACTTTATTCTCTTTTGTTCCTGCTCGAATGCTTTTTCATACGCTTTCATTCTTCTCTAAAACTTGTCTTCGGCCGGGTGTGGTGGCTCAACGCCTGTAATCTCAGCACTTGGGAGGCTGAGGCGGGTGGGTCACGAGGTCAGGAGTTCAGGACCAGCCTGACTAAAAATACAAAAATTTAGTCGGGTGTGGTGGTGGGTGTCTGTAATCCCAGCCACTACGCAGGCTGAGGCAGAAAATTACTTGAACCCGGGAGGCGGAGGTTGCAGTGAGCTGAGATCGCGCCACTGCACTCCAGCCTGGGCGACAGAGCAAAACTCCGTCTCAAAACAAAACAAAACAAAACAAAAAAACTTGTCTTAGGCTCTCACTCTACCTGATGCCCTGCAGTCAAATTCTTTCTCCTGAGGGGGCAAGTAACTGAGGTTGCTGCAGCCTCATAGGGATGCACCACTGCTACCAATAGGACCCAGAGCCTCTTCCTCTCTGGCCTCAGGCCTCCTACTTTCTTCCCTCTCTAGCTCAACTCTGCTCTAGCTTCCATTTCTTAAACACGGCTGCACAATCCCCAGCCTTAGGGCCTTCACGCTGGCAGCTCCCCCTGCCTGGAATGTTTTTTCAACAGATATGCACACAGACATCCCCATACTTCCTTTAGGTCTTAACCTTATCCTCCCTGGTCATTCTAGCTAAAATTTCAACCTCCCCCAACACGATCTTCTTTCCTGCTTTATTACTTTTATTCCTAGCTTATCTCTGCTGTGTTACACATTTTCGTTATCTAACCTGTCTGCTGTCTCTCCTCCTGTAAGCTGTAAGCTTCATGAAGGTAAGGATTCTCGTCTGTTTTGTTCACCTTTATGGCTGTGCACATCATAAGCGTTCAATGAATAAATACGTGGTGAGTGAATGAAAAAATGAGCCAATGGACGTAACATGTGGGAAGGGAAGACTTTTTCCCCCAGAAACAAAGATGTCTTTGGGGGTGGCTCTGCTGCACGGCATGGCCATCTCTTTCCATTGTCTCTAAGGCTTCTGGCTATGCAGAGTCACAGATCTTGGCACTAGCACATTGAGTGCTGGGAATTATAAGAAGCTGCCCACGGCCGAATCATATGTAGTATAAGGCAGAGATCTGCGGGTGATTACCAAGCCTGCTTCCCCTGCTGAGCTCTCAGATATGCTATACTTACTGCCTCTTTGTGTCCCAGTGGGGCCAAGTGGCCAGTGGAACCTAGGCAGAAGTGATACGTGCCATTTCTAGGCCGGCCCCTAAGACATCCTATGTGACTGATCATGCTCTCAGCTGAAAGGAGGAGGAATTAGTGGAGAGATCTGAGACCCTAAAAGATGGTGGGGCTGACAGATGCGAGAAACTTGAGTCTTTGAATGACCCTGTGGGTCAGTGCCCCACCCCCACATAGGACTTTGCCAAGGATGTGTCCTATGTGGGTGTGGGGCACTGATCCACAGAGTCATTCAAGGACTCAAGTTTCTCGCATCTGTCAGCCCCACCATCTATTAGGGTCTCAGATTTCTCCATTAATTCCTCCTAATTTCAGCTGAGAGCATGAGGACAGTCACATAGGATGTCTTAGGGGCAAGGCCTAGAGGTGGCAGCTAGTACGACTCACCCTGATGACACAGATATTAAGCCATTATATTAGAAAGTGCCATGTAAGGCAATAAGGCACATGGTTATCTGGTACATGTCACATCATAAGGGAAAGCTAATTTACCTTCCTTAACTGGAAGTTCAGCCTCACTGGACTTCTGTGAAAATTACAATGAATTGCCAAAGGTGAGATAGGAGGAGATGGGGAGAATCTATTAAAATGCTTCTTCAAGGTAACTGTCTTCTTCCTTAAACACTGCTACTAGTTACACACATGGGCAGCAGCTGGGGCAATCTTTGCAGACAAACTTGAAGGGAACCATAACCCAACCCCAGTTTTAAGATACTGAAAACTTAAGAGGCCACTGCTGTCATCAACGTGCAGTTTTCTTTTTTGACACCGTGCAATGCAGTGGCACGATCTCGGCTCACTGCAGCCTCCGCCTCTGAGGCTCAAGCAACTCTCATGCCTCAACGGCCCAAGTAGCTGAGTTTGCAGACGTGCACCACCACGTTTGGCTAATTTTTGTGTTTTTAGTAGAGATGGCAGTTTCGCCATGTTGGCCAGGGTGGTCTCAAACTCCTGACCTCAGGCGATCCACCTGCCTCGGCTTCCAAAAGTGCTGGGATTACAGCCATGAGCCACAATGCCTGGCCAACATGCACATTTCATAATGTGAAACCGACACTGTCTACACTCCAGGTTGAAGCTTTCAATATGGAGTTTCTATGACCCGTGATAATTTCTGTGCATACTGAACGTGATCCACTTTGAAGGGGGAGTTTCTTCCTCTTTCGTCTGGGTCAGGGACATCACACCAACAACACCAGCCACACTAAAACGTCAGGTCCTGCTCTTGAGGCCCAACCAGAGCTGAAGTATTCACATAACACAGCAATAAACAAACATGAAAATGTAGCAAAACATTACCTGCCCGGCAAGCATTTCATACAACAGGACGCCATAGGCCCACCAGTCCACAGATTTTCCATATGGCTGATAAGCGATAATCTGTGTGAAAACAAACACATCAATTACGTCAGTGGTAAGTCCAGTAGCCTCTGTCAGAACAGGTAAGTCAAGCAGGTAGGCATTTATACACTCAGTTCATGCAGATGAGGTGCCAAGATCTGTCTTTGATGTTACAACAAGGGAAGAGGATCCTCCAAACCAGACACACC